AGGGTAAATTTTATGGTATGTGAATATATCTCAATAAGGCTTTTTTTTTTTTAATTAAAAAAACCTGTCTGAATGCCAGCTGTGCCCTTTCGCCACACGACCTCAAGGCAAGATGCTTCACCTGCCTGGATTTCCCTTTTGTTCTCTGTAAATTGGACATAAAAGCAGGTATGTGATCCTGACCTGTACCTTTAGGAGGGATGGAAGGAGGGTCCCCGTTGGGCACCAGGGTCCTGGTTTCAGGCAGGAATCGTCAGTGGGTGCTGCTGACACTGTGGGGTGACCTGGAGGAGGAGTGGTATTTGCAGAGACTGAAGGATCTCCCTGCAAATTGCTTATTAATCACAAAGGGGGAAACAGTGACTCTCCGGTGAGATGCCCTGCAGACACTACATCACACTGCGCTCAGGAATGACACTCCCACTTCATTCACGCTTTCCTGCAATGGCCCACCCGCCCCCTTTCCCCCCACCCCGGCTTGATCTCCTCTGGACCTGCTGCAGCTCAAACGGCGATTAAAATCGGCAGTAACTCTCAGAACTGAGACTGAAATGTTGAAAGAAGCCAAGGATGTATGTCCCCCGCAAAAGGACCACAGAGCCACCCTGCTCTGGTAGCGGCCAAAGTTTTCCCATGATGAGAAAGGAGAAAAACCAGAGGGCAGATTGGGGGCCGCAGATTTTCCTGGAAAGAGCCGTAAAGGTAAGCACTTGGGGGTTGGTGGGTCCCTGGTGAGAAAGTAACCATGCACCATACACAGTCTGGTGGGTGTGGCCGTGTGCCAATAAAGCTTTATTTACAAAGACAGGGCGTGGGCCGGACACAGCCACGAGCTACAGTTCTCTGACCTCTGGTTAAACATGCTCCCTCCCAAGAGGCACCTATGAAGGCTTGCGATGGTATGTCCATCAGCAGGGTGCCGGGTGGGTAAGTTGTGGTGTCTTCTGAGGGTAGAATACTACACAGCAGGGAAAAGGGGTGTGGGGTGTAAGTGGGAGATTCCAAAGCAAGAGTTAATGCAAGAGAGGGACGGCACAATGCCACCCATATAAGATGTGTAGGCCACACACCAAGCAATGCTGAATATTGTCCCTGGATCCATAAATGTGCACATAAACGTTTTTAAAAGAATGACAGAGTTACAGACAGTGGACGATGCCTCTGTGCAGAAGGGAGAGGGACCGAGGTGGTTTCATGGGACGCTCTTTCTGGT